AATATCCGTAATTTACATGCTTAAGTTACTTATATATAGGGGTATTTTAGTCTTTTTTATTAAATTATTAACGGGCCTAATGGTGCACTTCAGTCTACAAACCACAAGGGGATTATATAGTCATTTTCAAATATTAGGGCAGCAAATTGCACATAGCCCAAACTACAGGTGGGTAAAGTAAAGTTTGCTCTAAATATTTTAAAGTTTTAACTATATACTTTTACTAGTTTTGAACCTGTGCTATGTGCCGGTTGTGTTTTGATTTTTAATTTAAAAAAGAATGATAATAGCGGTATATATATATTAAAATATGTGATTGTATAATAATATATAATAAAAAAAATTGTATAAAAATTTTAATAAATGAAATTCTAAGGTTTTTTTTTTAAAATTTGATTTTTAACAAATGAGTAGTCATTAGTAAAACACTTTGCATGGGATTGTGTTTTAAATTTAATTTTATAAAAATATGTATGAATAATTGAATACAATATTAATAAATAAGAAAATATGAAAAATGATATAATAGTTACACATCGAAATATAAAAGTATTTATAAGTTGAAAATTAATGAAAAAATTTATTTTCAAAAGTATCAATGAATAAAACTTACACAATAGTTTAAAATATTTTTCTCAATTAAGAAGAGAAAAAGAAAACTTCAATAAGAACTTTGTACATAATGCAAGTAATGTATGATATTGTTAACCATCTTAATTGTGTTTATTCAACACATTTTTTATCAGAGCAAAATCATCATTCTCTTTATGATGTTTCCGGGTTACCTATTTATAAACATGTTCTTAATTTGACATGTTTATTATTAAAATTTTCATTAATTTGTAAACATATTTTTACTATTACAATCACATCTAATGGGTATACTCGACATTCCTATGTAGGTGGTAAGCAAATTACATGGGATTTTTAAATTTTTTTCCCTAACAATTACATTTGCATATGACAAAAAAAAGTTTGCTTAAGCTGAAAAAACTAAAAAACTAAAAACTCAATCTCTCAAATAAAATAATGAATAGTCATATATTTTACATAATTGATAACATTGACAACCTCTAATTAACGATGATCTTGCAACCAATTATCATTCAAAATAATTTTCTATTAGCTAATAATTAAAATAATACTTGAAAACCATTTTTCATGTATGAAAATTATATGCTGGCCATCTTCATTTCATATGTTTATTAAAAAAAATATATAAACCTACTTAGTAAACAATGAATGCCTAATATTAAATAGTACAAAATTGGATTTCATCAATAATTTGATTTGTACATTACAAAATTTACAACTCGTCGCCTAATGATTGATCGGAGGAGGACTAAAGAACTATTAGTTTAAGTGGAAAAGAAAAAGAAGTGAGTTTTAGATAAATGTAAGATACATATTCAAGTAGACAAATTTAATAATCAAAAAATTATAGAAAAAATCAAATACATATATTTAAGGGATCTTTTTAGTAAATCCCATTTCTAAGAGTTTTATTCGATATAACCCAAAACGTTTTAGTGTATTCCATTAGGTCCTATTCACTATACAAAGACCAAAAACCTCTCAAGCCAATATGCATGTTTCATATATTTGAATCAATAACACTCTCTCTCTCTCTCTCTCTCTCTCTCTCTCACCTACGAATATCACATAGAAAATCTCTCAACCTTTCAAAACCCTAAACCCTAGTCGTCAATCCCCTATATTCTCTTTTGTCGTCTCATCGCAGTATTTATCGTCCTTATGCCATTCTTCGTCGAAATCGTCATTTCCTACTTCGTTTTCTCCGGAATCCTCATTGTTGATCATTTGGAACCCTACTCCAAAGTAAAGAATTAACACTGTAAACATTAACCATCAGTCGAAGTGTGTAAACAATCAAAATGCGAACCAAATGTATTCACCTTTCTTCTTCACGCTTTTGTTTGTATAATTATCAAACCATTCTTTGGCTCAATGTGAACTTTCACACATGTTATTCGTATTGTTGTTGTTATATTTATTCCATTGTGATTGTTGTTGGTGTTGGTGTTGTTGATGGTGTTCAAAGGATATGAATCCCCTATTTATTTATTTTCCCATATAATAATGAAATTATGGCAAATATATTGTTTATGTGTGTAAATAGTGTAGTGATGTGAACGTTCACAATATGTGAACATTCTTATTTTCAAACGTTGATAATATGTTACTTTCCCCCCTTTTTGTGATTGTTGTTGTTATTGGTGTTGATGGCGTTCAAAAGATGTGAACCCTCTGTTTTTTTGTTTTTTTGTTTTTTTTTCTCAAAAAATAATCAAATAGTTGTTTGATATATTATCCATATGTGTAAATAGTATAGTGATGTAAACATTCACATCATCTAAACATTCTTACTCATATCATGTTTGATACCCAAAAAAATAGTGATGTGTGGTTAATGTATTGTTGATGCTGTCATGTTTTTTTATTTTGTAAGCTACAATGTGAACATTAACATCATTCTTATATTTACAACGGGGGTTGTTAATATGAACCTCGACATTAATATTGTGAACATTAACATTTGTATGTGGATATAATATGAAGATTACCATTAAAAGTATCAATTTTTACTTAACATTGCTTATTTTTTTGCCCCAATGCAAAATTTCACACATGTCACCATGATCATATTGATATAACTTTGGTACTTGTTCATAATATTATTATTATTTTCACCTTCTTGGGGTTGTTGTTGTTGGATTACCATTGAAAAGTATCAATTCCCACATAATATTGTCCATATGCGTCAACTTATTATTAACATCATGTTTGAGTACACACAAAAAAATTGTACTTCATGGTTTACGCATTAGTGATGTTATATTGATTTTGGTAGTTTGTGGCCATTATGAACATTTACATTGGTACTATATGCTTATAAATGTGTGCACATAATATTACCATTACTATTTTATTTAGTTATTTATTTTGCAATTGTTGTTATTGTTGTCGATATTGTTGATATTGTTCAAAAGATGTGAATCACTTAATTTTTTTTTTTTCCTCCAAAAAATAGAGATATAATTGTTTGTTATGATGTCCATTTTTGTATACTTGGTTTGCTATGATCGTTCATACATTATAGACATTCACATAGGAAATATGTTGTGATGTTTTCTAAACATTCACATTGATAATATATACATATTGTAGGACAGGGTTCAAGAAAGTAGTTAGAAAATTCGAAGATCCTTGAAGAACAACTTCGAATTCTCTAGAAGATGATGAGAGGCTTAGATTCTTCAATAGTCTCAACTCAAGAACACAAAAGTAAAGGAGATGATGGAGATAAGAGATTGGGTGAAGAAGAAAGCAAAATGGCTAGAGAGAGAATAATGGCAAGGCTCTCCCATGGATCTCCCACTTTCACTCTCAAGGTTGATAATGGAGAAGGGAAATTAGTTCTTTCCCAAGAGTTAAAAATCTCCAAAATTCATCCCTTGTAAAGCTATGGGTGGGTGCTATTTATAAGCACCTCATGATGTAGGATGGAGTCCATGTGCAAGGCACATGGGGGATATTCTCTCTAACCACCTTGTCCGAGGAGGTGACCTCTCCGAGGAGGTGACTTCTCCGAGGATGAGAAAACCCCGAAGAGGAGATCAATCCCTCGGCGAACCCCTCTTCTTAGCCACACCTAACCAATGATCCCCAATCATCCCAAAGGGCCAGGGGTAGTCCTAGAGGACGTCCTGCCGCAAAATATTGCCGAGTCTCATAGACTCCCCCGAGGTCGTGCCACCTCGACCCGGGTATAGGCTAGTTTAACCGAAGAGTGAATTTATCTCCACTCACCGTCCTCGGGATCGGGTCCTTTGTTCGAACTCCATTACGCCCATGGTTCTGGTGCGTAGATCCCGGAAAGCTCCGAGCCCACAAGTGTTCTGGGACTCATTAACGGAGCGACTTCTAGATTGCGTCTGAATCCGTTCGAAGCCAAACGCTAGCTGGATTATGGGTTTGGGTAGAAATTTAAAAAGAGAAAGAAAAGGTGGATGAAATGTAAGTGAGATGTAACTATTTTTCATTCATATTCCACTTATCTTTTTCTTTTCTTTTTCCTTTTTTTTGTTTTTTTTTTTTCCTTCTAAATTCTTACCCAAATTCATATCCATGATCCAAAATGAAATTACTACTTCCCTGTTTGGAAACCACATGTCAAACTTCCAGCTAGTCTATGACTTTGGAGGCATAGTATTGACAATGAGTACCATTTCATTGATTAGGAAAGGGATAGAAAGCAAGGGCTATCCATTGGTCATACTTCTAACCATTATCATATATTGTTTGTTTTTAGAGAAAAAAATAATGAAAAGATTTTTTGAAAAAATCATTATTTTTATTCCAACAGGACTACAAACACATTAGACAAATCCAACTCCACATATCAAATGGTTGAAAAAACAAAACAAAACAAAAATACAACCAAACAAGATAATTATCTTGATGCTCTCATAGTTTTTCGCAAGCATCTGAAAAGACGTTGCATACTGGATTTAGAATGCAAAGACATTTCCTTGACAGAAGATGGATGAGAAGAAAAAATCTATGCTAAAGCATACCGTCATTAAATCACATGAAAATTTTGAGACACAAAAATCTCAAAACAATTCAACCATTTTAAGTGTTTTAAGGCTGCTCGCCGTACCAAAATACCAAAAAAATTAAGCAACAAATATATGGTGGTCAATGATATGTTTTCTATTCTAAAACATACTGTCATTAGATCACATGAAATTTTTTTTCTAATACAAGAATCTCAAAACATAATTTAACAGTGTAAGTGTTTTGAGGTGGGAGAGTAGAAGATTACATTCCAAACATAACTTCTGTAATAAATACTTGAGAAAATTACATATACCCCTCGAGATTTGGTTAAATTACAAATACCCCCTGAGGTTTGAGAAATTACAAATTCCCTCCTAAATGCTATATTTGCATAACAAATTAGGAGGTAATTTGTTATGAAATTTAAACCTCATGTTGGTGTTTCTCCAATCCTACCATGGTCTCTCCCTCCGGTTCACTCCTTCAACCAGGTCCACTTTGCCTCAAACCCGACCCGCGATGACGACCCATTTCTTCTCCCTCCTCCACAATCAACCTATGGGGGTTTTCTCAACAGAAGAGGTCCTTCTCTGCAATTTGCATATGATGGTTCACCATCGGACCATCTTAGGATCATATCAGACACACTTGGTCAGGTGGTTCATCATCATGGCTCAGCGGCTCCGTTTGGGCTCCAAGCCGAGCTGGGGAAGATGACTGCTCAAGAAATCATGGATGCTAAGGCGTTGGCTGCTTCTAAGAGCCACAGTGAAGCTGAGAGGAGGAGGAGAGAGAGAATCAACAACCACCTTGCTAAGCTCCGTAGCTTACTTCCAAGCACCACCAAAGTAAGTTCACCCCCCCCACCCCGCCCAAAAAAAAAAAAAAAAACTTATACCATAAAATCATTTTCTTTTCTTTCCAAAATATAAATGTGAAATACAATAGAGCCCTTTCAACCCATTAGCTTTTTTTTTGGTTGCAAACAACAGGATGTTAATAAATTACTAAGTTAAATTATAACGAAATGACTGCAATCAATTCATAGATTTAAACCCGAATGTTTAACATTTGCACGATCAAGAGACAACATAAACCACTAAGTCAACTGCCTATCCATCAACCCATTAGGTTAAGGATTCCAATTTTGTTTCAACTCTATGCTCCTTGCGTGTTAAAGTGACTAATTTAGTGGGAAATTTTCATATTATTTTTGTACAAAAATAAAATTTGAAATTTCCAACTCACATATATTCTCACGCGTATAACATGTTCTATTATATACTAATCCCTTTTAGTGTTTTCATCATAAGCTTTTTGATTTGTATTATATTGAGCTTTTGGGTACAGAGATCTGTGTGGATTTTCTTAAGATTCTACTTAGATGGGCACATAGATATAAAAATTTAGTGGCATCTATAAGGAAGAATTTAGGTACAAAGGGTGACAAAAGTCACCAAGTGTAGTCTAATTTTTAATTGTGTAATGTATTAATTCACTTTCAATTGTTTTTGTTGTTTAGTTTCTTTGGTTTAATGGAAAATATATTCTGAGTTTTATGATAGTTTCGAGGAAAGAAAAACAGAAAGTGTAGAAGAAGCGTTAATGTCGCATAGTTTGATAAGATAAAGAGAAACCAAGAGGGTTGAAAAGTTGCCATGGATAATTCTTGCCGGATATGTAGTCAAACTCAGTTGAGAATGAAAAGAAATAAAGATAAGACAAACAACAATTCTTGTCAGTCTTTGCTGCATACTCTTTGCCTCTAAACCCCACCATTAACAACACCAACTTTCTTGTTTGAATGATCAAGCTACCTATGTCATTATAACCCTTCTCTTCTTTTCACACATTAACATATAAACTTTACCATAATATATACACATATAGATATGTCTCAATGTGTTTAGGGTTTTTTTTTGAATAATGATTTGTAAATAGAAATTTATAAATTAAAAAAAATAACCAAATTGATATATCATTTACATTTTTGAGATGAGTGGTGATATAAGAATATAAATTCAAATAAAAATTTATACATAATGACTTGGCTGGTTTTTCCACATCACCTTAGAGTAAAGAGCCTATCAAAATATTTTCAATTACATAATTGATATTGTTATATCATTCTTATGCAAAATTAAATATTGAATTTTTGAGAAAAAATATTTTTTCTTCTCAAATTATGAACACAATAGTGGATATTTTGATTAAAAATGAGGTGCTCAAAAAATAACATTGAAAATTTTTATTATGAAAAATTTGTACAAAACTTTTTTGAGTACATCATTACTTTGATTAAAAATATCGCAAGTGTTTGAAGTTTCATCATACTCTCATACATATGGTCCTCACACGGTTTTAAAAATAGTATTGCGACATGTATTATTATCGATGATATAATTATATTCTGGCCGATATTTGTAAATACATGTCAACCAATATTTATTTAAAGATGCCCCATCATTAATATATTAAAGGATTTAATCTTCATAAGGTACTACTAACTAGTTGGGATTGGGTGTCGCTTTGATGCTTGATGCTCCCCCTCTCTCTTTTTTGATGTAAACTCATATCTTGATGATTTTTCATCAATAAAGCTTCTTTTTGCTGATAAAAAAAAAAGTACTACTAACTAACTAACAAACTACCTAACATAGGTTTCATTTTCTGATTGTGTTATGGTTTGATTTATGCTTGTGATTCAGACAGACAAAGCTTCATTGCTAGCAGAAGTGATACAACATGTGAAGGAGCTCAAACGCCAGACTTCTCTAATAGCGGAGACGAGCCCGGTCCCAACTGAGGTCGATGAGCTAAGTGTCGATGCATCGGACGATGAAGATGGCAAGTTTCTGATCAGAGCTTCACTGTGTTGTGAAGACAGGTCTGATCTCTTGCCTGATCTCATCAAAACCTTGAAAGCTCTCAGACTAAGAACACTGAAAGCTGAGATCACGACACTTGGTGGACGAGTAAGGAATGTCTTGTTCATTACCGGCGAAGAAGACTCAGATAGTGGCGACCAACAACAACAACAACAACAACAGTACTGTTTGAGTTCAATTCAAGAAGCACTTAAAGCAGTAATGGAGAAAACAAATGGTGATGATTCTTCTTCAGGGAGTATTAAGAGACAAAGAACCAATATGAATATCCTTGAACACAGGTCTCTTTAAAATTTTAGTACGATGACCTCACACTGCTTTTCCCTTCTTTTTGTGTGTGCTTTTTTTGGTGTGTTTTTTTGTGTATTGGTTTTTTTTTTTTTTTTTAAAAAAAAAAAAATTTCCAACCAACTAGGGTATGTATCTTCTTCACTACTCATGCATTAAAAAGGATATGAAAAAAAAAAAAAAAAAATAGAGAAAGAGGACATATAGTGGATTATTTGTATTGAATATAGAAACTAATTATAGAATTAAATATAGAATATAAATGAATGGATAAAATTTTTCAAAACTGACTCTATAAAATTTTTATCTATTTGTATATATTCTGTGTTTTATTTCGTACTTAATTTCTGTATTCTTAGCCGACTTCGTTTATGGTTAGTAGGGATACCAAAACCCTGTTGTGTGTTGGTTTAGTTGTGCAGAATGGCACAGAGAGAGAGAGAGAGAGAGAGTGTGAGCGAGTGAGAGATTGTTAAAAAGGGAAAAAAACAGAGAAGGATCTTTTTCGTGAGGAGAGAAACCTTATATAAAGTCCTAAGATAGAAAATGTGGACATTGATTGCTTTTCACTGATCCGTTTTGGAAGCAAACATGCAGTTTGGAGGGTTTGTTTGTTTCGTAGTGAGACTCTCTCTCTCTCTCTCTCTTTCTCGTCATCAGAGAGCGTGGCACTGCCATTTTGTAATCATAAGCTTTGCTTGATGACGATATAGTTCTCGTCATCATCTATATTCTATATGCTATCACCACCCAACCAAAACCACCACCATCACCTCCTCCTCCTCCTGCTCCTTACAGTGTTGTTCCAGGCTTCTTGCTTTGGTGAGGGAAAGCCTAATGAAGCATGCAAGTTCAGAGTCATGAGAGCTAGTGGGTGGGCTCATTGTGTCGTGGGTGGTACTACATAATTTGGCCCCTTTTATTGTGGTCTCTCTTCTTTTTTTTCTTCTTCTTCTTTCTGTTTTGGTGGTGTCTTGGTCTGAAGTCATGTGGTTTATGAAATATATATAGAGTATATATGGTTGGTTAATGAAGGGTTAGATCTAAGAATTGTTAGCATCTACCAATGCACTTCTTGCGGAAAAATAGCCTTTGCATTATAGTCTTCTCTCTCTCCGATCAGTATAATATATAAAAGTTTTAGAAATTAAATTTTTTAATTTCTAAAAGTGAAAATTTTGTTACAAAAAATATTTAGAGATTAATTTCTAATGTCGTGAAAATAGTTGCTAAAAAGCCATCCTGAAAAGTAAAAAAATCAGACTTTTAATGACAAAATTTAAAAAATTTCAGTAATAAATATACTTTTAGGGACAAAATAATCTAGTCGCAAAAGGATTTATTTTTAGATAAAAAATTTGGTCAAAAAAGAATAATAATTTATCACTAATGTCTAATTTTTGTTGCTAAAAATATAATAATGACACTTTCGCAACAAAAATATTTAGTCCTTAAAAAATAATTTTGTCTCTAAATTTTGGTCTCTAAAACCTTTTGTGGTGAAGTACTAATAATAATCATATGAATAGATAAAAATTTTCATATGTAATTTTGCTATAGACACAAAATATATATGAATGAATAAAATATTTTGAAATTTATTTTTGCACTAATATGAGAGATCAATGATTCAAACACAAAATTACCGAGAAAAATAGTGTATGGTCTAAATACAATTTTTGTAGTTTATGATTCACATTAATAATGAACTTTGGCCACATATTATTTTTTTTAGCATTTTTGTTATGCTCGAGTTCTAAATCTGGCATTACTGTTATTAATGGATACGTTTCATGGCACAATGTGCAGGTATAAATGGTGTAGAAGATATGATCTAACAACATTATATATGCACTAGGAGAAGAGGATTTTGTTTTATTAAAGTAAAATAGAAATTTATTGACTTAAAATAAAGAGTACATTAAAATAATAGAACCTAACAGAATAAAATTTTAACGATATCCCAATTAAATTGGCGCACGACAAAAGTCAATCACTAGCTGATGTTTTCATCTGCATGCACCAGCATGGCCCTTCGTAGACTGCTAAGGTCATGTTTGATTCAAAAGACTAATAGTGAAGTATTAATAATCCTATTAAATTAGTGTAGGATTCACTATCCAATTGGATTAATATCCATTGGATTAATAATCCCACCCCTACCCCATTACTAATAATCCTACAAATTTGTTGGATTAATTATCCGTTGGATTAATAATCCTAAACCAAAATGTTAAAACAAACATGAGATAATTGGGCCCACGGATTAATAATCCTAATCCCATGCTCTAATCCACCCAATCAAACATGCCATAAGAGTTTGTACAAAGGATTAACGAGTTAGTACAAAAAAGGACTAGATGATAGCTAGAGTGTTCATATGCATATATATGTTCATACTAATTTCTAAGTTTCACAATGAAGTCCTACACAGCCATTTTTGCTCCTATTGACTTCATGTCTTTATATTGGCATGTGGGTCATACTCTAATTAGATACCCAAAGATTGGAGGACATCATACCTGGGCCATGAAGCTGGTAGTAGGACTTTTTATGTTTAGTAAGCATATTGTAACACATGATCTCAGTTAATTTTGTTCTTCCCAATCGTCAGGGTTCCACAGGAAAAACTATGTACTTAAAAAAAAAAAATTTTAAAATGGATGATACTTGTCTCCAATTGGGCTTCCTAATTGGATTGGGTAGTGATTCGAACCATTTAACTTGTATAGTTTTTCGAACAGATTATTTATGTGATTTAATTATGTTACTATATTATCCATTTATTTATTTTTTTAATTTTTTAATGAATGATGTGTTCGAAGAACCCTACAAAGTGAATAGTTTAAATTATTAAAAATAGTTATGTGGTGGGCCTACCAAGGACCATCAATACAGTCTAATTGGGAGATCCAACTTGAGCCTATTGGAGATAATCCGTTCCTGTAAAAAATTAGAGAGAAATATGTTGAAAGGAATGAGTCGTTTTAAATACAACGTCAACGCTTTAATTATTTTGAAAACGTGAATGAATTATTTTTGAAAAGTTAAAAAGTCAAAAAAGTCAATATAAATTGTCACATCACTCTTTACTTTTTGTAAAAAATTTAAAAAATGATTAAAATAACTAATTCTCAAACCAACCCTTAGTCCAACTATCAAAAGGACACTATGAATTATGTTAAATTAACACAATTTAAAAAAAATTAAATGTAAAATTAATATATTTAGGATCGCAATAACTAAATTAACATGGGATAAACTAAATATATTTGTTTAGTGAATTATCTGTAATTAATCCTTAAAAATTGTATTTCTAATTTCTGAATGGACAATTGCATTTCTCCACCAAATGATCTACTTCTCCTATTCGACATCTATAGTTGTATTTGTTTTAGTAGTTTGATCGAAGTTCTCATCAATGAATTCTTCATTCAAAAGAGTTTTTATCATTTTATTATTCATATTCCGATCATGTCTCTCTGACTTTCACTTGGTTTAAATTTGTATCTCGGACAGAATTAGATTAACCTAAATAAAGCTTGAACTGATCTTGGGTTTAAGTTTTAAAGTCCAATATAACCCAGGGGTGAGTGGCAACCTGGTAAGGGCCTGGGGTTTAAGCCCCAAGGTCCTGGGTTCAACTCCCCTCTGGGCCAATCTCCTGGGCGTAGCACAGTTGGTTAGGAAGTTGACCTCAAGGATGCCTTATCAGCTACTTGGTGTGTGTTTAATTCTCCCCCGCTGTGCGAGTCCTGACTTAATGTAACAAAAAAAAAAAAAAATTTAAAGTCCAATATGCCCATTGACTCACTGGCTAGCTCGACAAAAAAATAAAAAGAAAGAACAAAGATTGGGCAGATTATATTAAAAATAAAAAATAAAAATTAAGGGTTTGAATATTGTAACAAAATGAATTATGAGTTTTTAATTTTATTAATTTAAATTCTAATATTTTAATTTATTTTTAATTTAAATCATTTGTTTATTTTCATTATCTAAAATTGACTAAATGTAATATTTTAGTCATTATACTCAACGAAGATGTATTGAGAATGTCTAAAATACTATTTTTTATTGAGTTTAATACTAAAATATTCCTTTTTCCATCAATTTTGCTTAAGGAAAGTACATAAATGGTTTAGATTGAAAATAAATAAAAAATTATTATTCAGATTGAAAAAATTTAAAATTTAGAATTTATTTTGTTACAAGGCTTATATACCTTGAGTTTTTTTTTTTTCCAAAAAGGATTTATTAAAAATACAAAAAATAAAAATAAAAATAATCTAAAAATAAGCCTGATTCTCTGTCTGATCTGTTTGGGGCCATCTTTAAAATTTGAAAGCAGGCCCAAGCATGCAAAACCCAATGAACTAATTCTGCAGCCGAAATTAGAGCCCAATCCAATTTCACGGGCTGTGGTGGGGAAAACACGAATTGATCTTCACAAGCTCGATCGAGTCTTCTCGTACTCTTCTTGGTGGTTCGTATCAATTTCTGCTTTTCTTTTTCTCTTCGAATGTGAATGTTGTATGCCTGCTCTGTAGTTCTCTCTCCAACCTCTGTTTGGCAGCGAGGAAAACGAAAGAAAAATTAAAAGACAGTTTAGGGTAGGTGATAAAACGAAAATTCATACAAAGTGCGAGTGCACTGATCCAAAATTTGTCAGTTTTCTTATGGCATTAGTAGTTTCACTTTCTAAATAAATTGGGTAATTAGTTTTTATGAATTCCATGAAAATTTTACTTTTATTTGTCTGGGCTAATGTGGAGTGTGCAGAGATTTTTTTCTTCATTCTATGTTCTTCTCGTTTTTGCTTGCCTAATTTTGGTGCATTTTGAATTTTTAAAGGTTTGTGTTGTGAAGATGTTATTGCCCCATGCCTATCCTTTGGGTGGTACTTTTAATTCAATTGAAGATTTTGTTTATTTATTTATTCAATTTACAAAATGGGTCTTGCTAATAAGTCCCGTGGCTTAAGAAAATGATAAAAAATGGGTAGATCCGAGACGTATACCACTAAATTCAAAACATTTTCTAACATTTCGAAAACACTTTTGATCATATTTCCAAAATTAGCATTTGCCTTATAGATATTAAGAGAATTACATCAAACCGGG